AAAAAAAAAAAACAAGCTCCCTCACTCATCTAAGTTCTTCCCCTTTAAAGTCAAAATTCTGGGAGAAGATACACTACTGTTTCTTCATCTGTAATCACCAACTGCAAATATTTCACTAAAGCCACCGCCACCCCATTAAACCTCCCCTCTCAGCACTATATAAATGTTCTAGTTACTATCTTCTTGTTCGAACACTTTTCAGGTATTTCCCCAACCACTCTGGCTGCTTCTTCACAGTCTCTTGCAGATTCCTCTTGATTCACCAAATTTTTAAATGTCGATTTCCATTGTGTTCTCTTCTAAACTTCAAATAATAACTATCTACTGATCATTCCCAGCTATATACATTTACATCTCAGAAGCATAACCTATATCAGGCACATTTATCAGGCACATACATCAGATCCTGAGGATTCTGCCTGCTTGAAGAGCTCTCAGATGGAGCTACTCTAAATCAAATTAGCATCAATGCTTTTCTGGATTGCTGTGACCCTTCTTCAAATTGGTCTTTTTTCTCCGGTCTTGGCTTTACTCTCCTTAGCTTCATTTCCAAGTCCTCTATACTGTAGCTAGTGTTATCATTCAAAAATAAAAATCTGATCCTGTCATTTCCTAAGTTAAATTTCTGTCACTAGATGTGAAATATTATACATTTCTGTTGAGTAAAAACTCAACAATAGGAGCTATTTGACCCATAGAAGCCTAGCCTCATTATTTCCTCCAAAGTGCATCCACAAAATGATCAAAGCTTTTTTCTGTGTATTTTCTAGGTTTGGAAAGGTGAACACTATCACTCCCCAGCCACATGTTTTATTAAACATATCCATTATTTAATATGTTAATACTTTTACTCACCAAATGCAATGTTGAAATCATATTTCTTTTTCATGAGGTCTAAGAATGTAGTATAATTCTCTGAGAGCAATTTTATTTAGCTTAATGCTAAATTCCCATCACACGTCTTTGTGCTGTTTCCCCAGGTACTGCTTGTAAATATGACCCTACAAATCACTTTGACCATACTCTTTTGTAACATAAACAGATGTTGGTTCCCAAAGAAATAAAAAGACTTGTCCAAAGCAAGACCAACCAAATAAGGTCCTAACTCCCAACCATGGCAGTTTCCATGATACGTTACTACATATCGAGACATAATCAAAGCTTATTAGTACTTTGGGGTCCTATTCATGTAGTAGATACATATAAATTTAAATTAGAATATCCCTGTATTCTTGATGTTTTCTTTTTAATTGTGAAAAGAGGAGAAAACACAAACATTTAAAAGTACACAAAAAATAGGGTACACTTCTGCACAGTTCTTATAAAAAATAATTACAATATTTCACCACATAACATAACTTCTAATTCTATTATGAATTAATTGTTTCTCTATGGCTGCAAAAACCTTTTATGAGTTATTATGTTCTTGGTGATTCAGTTTGTCAGCTTCCAGATACAGCTGAGTTATCTGATAATTTTTAAAAGTGTCTTTTCTTTCCAGAGCAACACAATTTTTACGATGAAAATTAGTACTATTTAAAATCTAAGCTTTTCTTAATGCTTAGTAACATTAAAAAGTTACATTAAATGGAAGATAAATATTGGAGAAAACTTCTACCATATTATCAGTATTCTCTGAAGAAAATATAGTATGTATGAGAGTAATATCAGATTATTTTATAAAGGAAACCATGAATACATGTTTTAAAAATGTCTGGATATTAATTGTCCCTAGCATATAGGAAAAAATTTGAGAAAGTAAGAAACTAGATACTTTTCTTAGAGGAATATGTATCCTGCTGACTGGCATTAATTATGCTCTATCTGTTTCTATGCTCCTTTTTGTTTTAAATTGAAGGAGGAAATATATGTAGAGCAGATGAGTTCCTTTGCAATAATTCCCTTTGCAAACTGCATTTCTGGGTATGTGATGGAGAAGACGACTGTGGAGACAACTCTGATGAAGCCCCTGATATGTGTGGTATGGCATTTCACCTGGCTCTAGATTGTATTCTCATTTCCTGCTCTAACGCACTGATGTGAATCAATGAAATGGTGAGGTGAACCACAAATTCTACCATTCTGGGGTTAGGTAGATAAAGTATAACCACAGATACAGCTTTTGTTCAGGTAATAAGAGATTACCCTGTTCAAAGCTTATGAATTTATAGAAAGCCTTCCTAAATCTGAACTTGCACATGTCAACACTATTCAAAGGGTTGATTATGGTCTGTCTGGGGGGATTTAAGAGTAGTCAGCCCTTTGAATTCACTAATATCCATATAAGGACTTTAGCTTCACACCAAAGTGGTGCTTTAGGCAAAAAAAATTTTTTTGGACAGATAAGTACATGGAAAAATCTGAATAATAAAATCATGTAATTTCACAACTCATCCACTGTTGAGACAGGTTGTTCAGAGAAGGGATATAGGAAGAGAACTGAAATTAGAAGTTTCTTAACATTTAAATCTGAAAACCTTAACAGAAGTTATTACTTCTTCAAGTTACTCTTGATGGGTATTTGTCAGAACTGTGCTTATGCAACCAGCAACTATAAAGGTACAATTTTAGACCACTAAAGTAAAGGATTTCTTCTTATATTTAATAAACATTGTTATTTCCCTCTTCTCATTCTTTTTTGTCTAATCTACGTAGGAAAGAAAATTTCACCTCTAATCTAAAGAAAAATACATCTATTCTGTATACAACTAAATAGCACATCAAGTGAATTAAAGAAAACATACTATAAGTGTATATACTTAAATTCGTTGTTTTATTTGATGCACTAAGTTAAACCAGTATTTTTTGATAGATGATGACATCAACTACTGATATGGCAGTTGACTAAAAATGTCCAAAACAAAGAGGTGGCTTTATTTTTAAAGGGATTTAAAAGTTGAAAAAGATGGTCTTTGGAGTGTTCTCTGTAGCTACAACTAGTGAGAAATATAACTAAATTTCAATTTCAGTTCTTTTACAGAATCTTATAAAGTGGACACTAGAGAAGCACCAGAGATATATTGTTTCTGAATCATAATGCATGAAAAAATATGAGTTTGTCTACCAATACCAAGCCAGAACCTATTATTTTTATAAACGATATGTTTTTTTTTTCTGTTCTCTATTCGCCATCAATACAAAACTGGTCAGTTGAACAAGAAATGTTTGATAACTAATTAACCATGTGGCACTCCAGAATCATACCCCCAGAACCACTTCCAAGGCCAGGAAGTGATTCTCAGTCACATGCCACACAGGTGCTAGAAAGATTGTAAAATACATCCCTCTTGATTCCGTGCATGTTTTGCATTCTCTTCAGTCGTCAGTATCAACACTGAGTCAAGCTACTATGTCCTGCAGACTGTGCTAAGTAATCAGGATAAAAAAATAAACAGCACATAGCTCCCTTAGACAAGGAGATATTATTCTGGTTGGCCAAGTAATTTCCATACATTGTATTTCAAACAATGGTAGAATTAAGTAAAAAGAATAAAGCAGAGAGGAATAAGATGAACTCTGTCTAAAAGGGGAATTCAGAAAGCTACAGTTTTGAAGAATGTAGACTAAAAAGCACCATAGGCATATTGAGCAGCATGGGAACAAATATCATTCATTTATTTAATGCATATTTGTTAATCCTGAGTCTGTGATTATGTTTGGTGATACAATGATGAGAGGAAAAGACATGGACCCTGACTTCACAGAGCTGGGAATCTTATGGAAGAGATAATGATCACAAATATATACAGCCACACATTCTAATATGTGCATTAAAGAAAAAGTATAGTAAGCTGTAAAAGTATAGAACAGAGGGATTTCATTCTATCTTCGGTTATGAGAAATAATATTTGAGTTTAGGTCTGAGAAATACATAGCTACCAAGTAGGTGGAAGGGATAAGGGTAGGTGGATAACACAATATTGTAAGAAACAAGATGTAGAAAGACCCTGAGGCAGAACAAACCATACCTTACTGGAGGAACTGAAAGATCTATGGGCTTGGAGAGTACAGAGGAAGGTAAATATTGGTTTAAGATGAAACTGAACAGACAAGAGATATCTGAAACCTTGTGAGTCTTGGTAGAGGTTTTTAGATTAATCTGAAAGCAATTAAAAATACTAAAGAATTTGAAGCAGAGAATTTTAAGCTGAGAAGTTGCATAGTTATATTTATATTTTACTAAGGTAGTGATAGCACATGATGGCAAAGTACACACATATTTGAAAACAATTTAAAAGGTAAAATAAAGTGGATTAAATAATAGATTGGATACAGAGGGTTGGAGAGGAATTTGTCATGTATAATTTACAGGCTGTTGTCACTTGCACATTTGAGTAGATGGGGAACATAGGCAGAGGAACAGGTTTGCAAGTAAAAATCAGCAGCCTGGTTTGAGATGCTTTTGAGGAGGCATTCAACTAGAGATTTCAAACAGATACTAGATATTTGGTTCTAAAGCTTATGAAGGTGGTCTACAGATATAAATATGAGAGTCAACATCAGTTATGGTGATAAATATTGTGGAATTCACAAGATTTAGGTTGGGTGGGAGTAAAGCATACGAGAAAGGGATTAGGAAAGAATATTGAGGGACGCCAAACATCTAAATAAATACAAGCCACCAGAAGAGACTCAGGTAAGTGGCTGCAAAAGGATTAGCAAACAAAAAATATGGCAAAATAAATACCAAGGTAATAAAATATTTCAAGAAGGATGTTTCAGGGAATGTCTCTGAAGAGTCAGGGAAAAATGAATTTCACAACAGGGAAAAAAATGAGTTTTAGAGAAGATTAGTGATACTGTCTCTGTTGCTAAAAAAAATACTGGAGTAAGTTGATATGTGTAGATGCAGGTGGATATACAATTATCCAGTAAGATGATAGCAGATTTCCCATCTCTTTTTACGCTTTTACATGTGTGCAGTAGGAAGCATGCTTGTATAGAATGTGGATGATTGGTGCTGTAGAGAGGTTTGAAAGGAGAGCAGATTTTAATTATGATTGCAATTATTGCAATGAGTAAGGGAGTAACATGGAGATATATATATATATACACACACACATACATATATATGTATTATATATGTATATATATAATCTCTAAGTAGTGTTCTGGGCTGATCTGACATTAATATTCATATTTAGGGTATCAGTGGCTCTTGTGGTATGATCATCTGTGACCTTCATGGGCTTCCCAGAATGCAGGCATTGAGATAGCCAGCAGTTTCATTCATCTAAGTTTAGTGTTTTGTTAGATAACCAAGACAAAAAAGAGAAAAGGGCCAGAGGTTACAGATTATTTGGATGTGATTTTCTAAAAAGGGCTAATGACAGTGTCCAACATAAACCAAAGTGGTGCTTTAGGCAAAAAAAATTTTTTTGGACAGATAAGTACATGGAAAAATCTGAATAATAAAATCATGTAATTTCACAACTCATCCACTGTTGAGACAGGTTGTTCAGAGAAGGGATATAGGAAGAGAACTGAAATTAGAAGTTTCTTAACATTTAAATCTGAAAACCTTAACAGAAGTTATTACTTCTTCAAGTTACTCTTGATGGGTATTTGTCAGAACTGTGCTTATGCAACCAGCAACTATAAAGGTACAATTTTAGACCACTAAAGTAAAGGATTTCTTCTTATATTTAATAAACATTGTTATTTCCCTCTTCTCATTCTTTTTTGTCTAATCTACGTAGGAAAGAAAATTTCACCTCTAATCTAAAGAAAAATACATCTATTCTGTATACAACTAAATAGCACATCAAGTGAATTAAAGAAAACATACTATAAGTGTATATACTTAAATTCGTTGTTTTATTTGATGCACTAAGTTAAACCAGTATTTTTTGATAGATGATGACATCAACTACTGATATGGCAGTTGACTAAAAATGTCCAAAACAAAGAGGTGGCTTTATTTTTAAAGGGATTTAAAAGTTGAAAAAGATGGTCTTTGGAGTGTTCTCTGTAGCTACAACTAGTGAGAAATATAACTAAATTTCAATTTCAGTTCTTTTACAGAATCTTATAAAGTGGACACTAGAGAAGCACCAGAGATATATTGTTTCTGAATCATAATGCATGAAAAAATATGAGTTTGTCTACCAATACCAAGCCAGAACCTATTATTTTTATAAACGATATGTTTTTTTTTTCTGTTCTCTATTCGCCATCAATACAAAACTGGTCAGTTGAACAAGAAATGTTTGATAACTAATTAACCATGTGGCACTCCAGAATCATACCCCCAGAACCACTTCCAAGGCCAGGAAGTGATTCTCAGTCACATGCCACACAGGTGCTAGAAAGATTGTAAAATACATCCCTCTTGATTCCGTGCATGTTTTGCATTCTCTTCAGTCGTCAGTATCAACACTGAGTCAAGCTACTATGTCCTGCAGACTGTGCTAAGTAATCAGGATAAAAAAATAAACAGCACATAGCTCCCTTAGACAAGGAGATATTATTCTGGTTGGCCAAGTAATTTCCATACATTGTATTTCAAACAATGGTAGAATTAAGTAAAAAGAATAAAGCAGAGAGGAATAAGATGAACTCTGTCTAAAAGGGGAATTCAGAAAGCTACAGTTTTGAAGAATGTAGACTAAAAAGCACCATAGGCATATTGAGCAGCATGGGAACAAATATCATTCATTTATTTAATGCATATTTGTTAATCCTGAGTCTGTGATTATGTTTGGTGATACAATGATGAGAGGAAAAGACATGGACCCTGACTTCACAGAGCTGGGAATCTTATGGAAGAGATAATGATCACAAATATATACAGCCACACATTCTAATATGTGCATTAAAGAAAAAGTATAGTAAGCTGTAAAAGTATAGAACAGAGGGATTTCATTCTATCTTCGGTTATGAGAAATAATATTTGAGTTTAGGTCTGAGAAATACATAGCTACCAAGTAGGTGGAAGGGATAAGGGTAGGTGGATAACACAATATTGTAAGAAACAAGATGTAGAAAGACCCTGAGGCAGAACAAACCATACCTTACTGGAGGAACTGAAAGATCTATGGGCTTGGAGAGTACAGAGGAAGGTAAATATTGGTTTAAGATGAAACTGAACAGACAAGAGATATCTGAAACCTTGTGAGTCTTGGTAGAGGTTTTTAGATTAATCTGAAAGCAATTAAAAATACTAAAGAATTTGAAGCAGAGAATTTTAAGCCGAGAAGTTGCATAGTTATATTTATATTTTACTAAGGTAGTGATAGCACATGATGGCAAAGTACACACATATTTGAAAACAATTTAAAAGGTAAAATAAAGTGGATTAAATAATAGATTGGATACAGAGGGTTGGAGAGGAATTTGTCATGTATAATTTACAGGCTGTTGTCACTTGCACATTTGAGTAGATGGGGAACATAGGCAGAGGAACAGGTTTGCAAGTAAAAATCAGCAGCCTGGTTTGAGATGCTTTTGAGGAGGCATTCAACTAGAGATTTCAAACAGATACTAGATATTTGGTTCTAAAGCTTATGAAGGTGGTCTACAGATATAAATATGAGAGTCAACATCAGTTATGGTGATAAATATTGTGGAATTTACAAGATTTAGGTTGGGTGGGAGTAAAGCATACGAGAAAGGGATTAGGAAAGAATATTGAGGGACGCCAAACATCTAAATAAATACAAGCCACCAGAAGAGACTCAGGTAAGTGGCTGCAAAAGGATTAGCAAACAAAAAATATGGCAAAATAAATACCAAGGTAATAAAATATTTCAAGAAGGATGTTTCAGGGAATGTCTCTGAAGAGTCAGGGAAAAATGAATTTCACAACAGGGAAAAAAATGAGTTTTAGAGAAGATTAGTGATACTGTCTCTGTTGCTAAAAAAAATACTGGAGTAAGTTGATATGTGTAGATGCAGGTGGATATACAATTATCCAGTAAGATGATAGCAGATTTCCCATCTCTTTTTACGCTTTTACATGTGTGCAGTAGGAAGCATGCTTGTATAGAATGTGGATGATTGGTGCTGTAGAGAGGTTTGAAAGGAGAGCAGATTTTAATTATGATTGCAATTATTGCAATGAGTAAGGGAGTAACATGGAGATATATATATACACACACACATACATATAGATGTATTATATATGTATATATATAATCTCTAAGTAGTGTTCTGGGCTGATCTGACATTAATATTCATATTTAGGGTATCAGTGGCTCTTGTGGTATGATCATCTGTGACCTTCTTGGGCTTCCCAGAATGCAGGCATTGAGATAGCCAGCAGTTTCATTCATCTAAGTTTAGTGTTTTGTTAGATAACCAAGACAAAAAAGAGAAAAGGGCCAGAGGTTACAGATTATTTGGATGTGATTTTCTAAAAAGGGCTAATGACAGTGTCCAACATATAATAGGTGAGTAACACATATTTTTTGAATGAGTTAATTTAAAGTTGGAACATGGAATCTAAAATCAATAGAGAGGGAAGTAACGACAACAAAGGCATTGGATTGGGAAAAGGTAGACATATCAATGTGCTAAAGTTTTAGCTAAGGCTGAAGAAGGAGACTAGTTGATTTAAAAATTTGGGAAGGTAGGAGATTGTGGTCAGATCTTGGAGCATTCAAATTAGTGGCTTTATAAATAAAGCAATTGGAGGAAATAGCAAATCAAGTTGCACCCATATGTATCAGTTAGTGTTCTTATCTTCAGGAAATAGGAACTCTCGTTGACTGGATCAAAAAGAGAAATTTGTTGAAATCCACCAATGTTCACAACCTTCTGGAAAGTAAGTGGCCTACATGGATTAGGGGAAAAGTACCTCGTGTATGAGTAGCTCAAGATGCAGTTATTTGACTTGTTTGCTCGCAGTGACGCTAAAATCACCTTGTATACTGTAATGAATATGGCTGGAGAAGGACCATGAGGGAAGGTGCTGCAGTCTTCTGTGAACTGGGAGGTTTACAGGTTGATGAGAAAATAATAATTGGAAAGAGGTATAATCAAATGCATGGCCCTCAACATGTTTTGGTTTTAGTTTATTAAAAAAATATATAACATAAAGATATAGTAACAAAATTTTGGAAGCTACAGTAGGAAACAAGGATGTCTTCAAACATGAGATAGCATGAGGTCTGAGCAATTTAAGATACATTCCTGAATGACTCAAAGGGGAGGAACTATACTTGGAGTGAGAACCAGATTTCAATTTAAACAAGGAGGTCAGGAGAGAAGAATCATGGCATATTTAAGGAGCTAATAAAGTGGCACTGCCAGAGTGTTAGAAGTGACAGAGGAGGAGTCTATAGGGGTGGCATGGACAAGGTAATGATAGGTCCATTATGCTATGTAAAGTATCTTAACTTGTATTCTTGAAAGTGATGAATGACGATGGAAAAGACAATCAGATTGATGTGTTAGGTGCATTGTTCTGGTGGCTTGTGGAGGATCACAGGTTGGGTAATGAAACTAAGACATTTAGCGTTCTATTTCAGTCATCTCTGTAAGAGATCATGAAAAATGGGACTATTTCATGGAGGGAAGAAGATGAGTTTGGTTATAATATCAACTGGTCTTGTTGACTAATAAGAGTGGGAGTCCAAGCAGAGGAGGGCATCTGGAATGATCCCAGACTTGTGGCTATGATGTGCCACTAACTTAACTATGGAAATACAGCAAAACTTGTGTTTGGGGAGAAGGGACTGATGGAAAAATGATAAAGAATTGAGCTTTGAATTTACTGACTTTGAAATTCCTAAGGAGATATCCTGTAATTGACTGTGAGATGTTAGACTGAGAGAGTGAATGAAAGTCTTCGCAGTATAGCATCAAGTGAATCCATGAGGATGAATGAAAATACTAAGCAGAGGATTCAGAGGGAAAATATCATGGGACCAATTAAAGGGCCTTGGGATATTCCACAAGTAAGGGTGCAGAGTCATTAGAGATGTTTCCTGCTTTAGGGATGGATTTCAGATTAGATAGTGATGGAAAGGAAAAGAGTAAAATACACTGGCTTTCATTGTCTAAGTCTCACACACACATACACACACACAAAATCATTAAGAATAACTTAGATCACCTTATGTGCCTCAAATACATATTTACAAATTTGTTTACAGAGACAGAGTAAGAAACATGGCGATAGTATTGCTGAGAATTTTTCTTTTCCACCAAATGACCTATTTTCAATTTTGGGCCTGTAACATATGCTTGCACAAGCTGTATTCTGTGTGAAATTGCTCTTTCAGATAGCGAAGTGTCATGCCGTGTGGTATAAACCATAGGCATAAATTAATTCGGTACACCAAGCGAAGTCTGCTAAGATAAAGCATCTGGAAATGAGACCATGAAGTTCGGCTCTTTTTCTTCAGTTCATTTCAGCTGTGCATTCTTTTCTGTAGTTAATATAAATAACTAGGATCATAGCTTCTATGATCTATGATACTAGATTTTCCTAGTATCTACATGTAGGCCATTTCCACAACAAAAGATATTCAGAAAAGCTAGATTATGGATTTGAAAAGAAACAAGAAAAAGAGGGAAGGAAAAACAAGGATGATTCTTCATTAAGTCAGTGGACCCAAATGAGATGCTTTGTATTTTTTCTTTTTTCCAGTTACATTTCTTTGCCCACCCACAAGACCTCACAGATGCAGAAATAATAGAATATGCCTGCAGCCTGAGCAAATGTGCAATGGGATTGATGACTGTGGGGACAACTCGGATGAAGACCCCTGTGGTGGTAAATCCATTTAATGTGAAATGATTGATTCAGTGACAGCTATAAGATAATGATATGGGGGTTCAAAAAATTTTAAAAGACAACATTTTCCATGTGTCATGTCTGAGGGTATTTTTTTCAGGCACTTGACCTTCTGGCAGGGTGTGAAATAATCTGCAAACATTTCATTTGCATAGTAGAGCCATGCAGCTTTATCCAGAGTGTCTACCAGTCTGTAAATCTCCATTGATTACAGTTACATTATTTCAGAAAATACTGCATGAAAGAAACATGTGGTTGAAAAACTGTTTAATAACAGTTTCCTGACTGGAGAGGACTTACATAGATTGTATGTATGCAAAATCCGTTTTTCACAATTCTGAAATTAACAAACATCTTAAAACCAAAGGCTTTGCTAAAAGATGTGGCAAAATCATCTGGGGACAAACCCTGACTTGAACAGGTCTGAGGCATTTTATATTATGTTTTTTAAATATATCACTTGAGGTAAATATTCAAACATTTTTCTGTGAATGTATGGAGTTATTTATTACAGGGTAAACACATTATTGTCTTTCTAAAAGTCCAAAATTTCAAAATTTTTTGATTTGGCCCAAAGAACTTCAAATGAAGGATTGTGGACCCATGTTTTTCATAAGGTTTAGTAAAATCTTCAACTTGTTATGGCTCAATCAATGTGTTTGATTCTGTGAAGTATTAATCATTCTTAATGACTTTATAGGTAAGCTTACATATAAAGCAAGACCTTGTAAAAAAGATGAGTTTGCTTGCAGTAATAAAAAATGTATCCCCATGGACCTCCAGTGCGATCAACTTGATGACTGTGGAGATGGTTCAGATGAACAAGGCTGCAAAATAAGTGAGTTTGTTTTCTGTTTAAGAAAGTGCAGACACACGCATATCCAATTTCTGCTTCGACATGACTGAAATTTTCTTTACTGCTGTGAGAAAAAATTGTTTCTCAAAATGTGCCTAAGTAATGCCTTTTTAAAAAGCCTTCATCAAAACAAGTTTAGAACCTCACTTAAATTAGTATCAGAAAGTAAGAGGTGGGAAAGGTTAATTTTGCAGTTAAGTACCCTTAAAGTTGAAGTTGAGAACTCAATATTCAATTACATACTTTGATGCCAACAAAGAAATCTATCTCCCTTAGTATTTTATTTTATAAAAATAAGTTTAATATTTTTGAATTTTACAAACAGTGATATTTGGTTGAATGATGGTAAAAATTTGAATAATTTACTCAATGTTTTAAAATTTTAATCTATTGCTGAGTTATTCTTAAGAAGACATTATTTTATTCAGTCAGAATATTATGATATGATACTTGAGTCATTAGACCTTGGGTGTTAATAATTTTGTGTTTAATGTTTGATATCTGATTTTCCATATTAAGAAAATAATTAAGCTTGTAACCCTAAACTCAGATTGCCTATAAAAGTCACAAAATACTTCCTACTTTGGGGTCTTTCATTTTTCTCATTTATGCATCTAAGTTCCTTACTGGGTGATAAAGCAATACACACCAGGATATGGCCACCTATAACTCCACTATGGTATAATTCCACTCGTGTATTTTAATTAACTATAAAATATTAGAAAGTCAGTGGAGATTAATAATGGTTACAATTCTGATAATGAAAGTTCTCATATTTCTCAATATTTTGATTTAAGTAAAAGAGCTAATTCAGTGTTTCTCCTATAATAATGACCCATTCATTTATTTGCATTCTAAAATGTTTTCCTAAATGGGAGATAAAGTAATGAAATTACAGCTACTATACTGGAAATGGCAAATAACACAGTCTGTCCTAACTTGTGTTGCAGTCCATGACCATTGAACATGTTACACCTTCAAATATTGCTCTGCACATGTATGCCTGAGCAACATAGTAGTGCCTTGATTGAGTTCCTGAATATTAAGTTAGGTTAGCAATAAATGACCACATCTTTAGGTAGCTTCTAGAAAATGTTCTGATTCTCAGGGAAGAATATAGCACTCACACATTATACCATTGTAAAGATAGCTTGTCATTAGAACCATTGACCCTTGACTTCATTTTAGAAAGTAGCGTAGCTTGGTAACAGCTGTAAATATCAGCTGTTGGCAGTTTTGTCTGAACTATATTCAGTGTAAAGGAGTTCAGTTTTTATCTGCTTTCTACTTTTATAAGAAACGAGGGCTTATATAGTGAAAAGGCCATAATCTTATAAGTTCAAAAAGAGTTATCTATGGAATAATATAATTTCAAATTAAGAAAAAAGTAAACTCTCACTTCAGGAATCAGAATTATATTAGTTTTGATCATATTTTTAAATCCTAGCTTCTGCTGAATATACCTGTGAAGATAATGTGAATCCATGTGGAGATGATGCATATTGTAATCAAATAAAAACATCTGTTTTCTGTCGCTGTAAGCCTGGATTTCAGAGAAACATGAAAAGCAGACAGTGTGAAGGTATAGTACATTTCCTCAACAGCTTGCTTTTAAATCTGCAGGTTATAACAGACTCCCAAGCCTGCTAAATTGTTAGATGACAGGGATTGATTTTCATCATAATGCTGTGTATATATGGGATACCATTTTACTTATGAGTGAAAATGTCCCTGAGGTCAATAGCCTGTTTGTTTGTAAGGCTAAGCTAACCATCACTGAGGCTACAAAACCTTTTCTATAGCCCATTCAGACCTGCAGGGAATTTTAGTTGTATTGTTACAATTCTGTTTTGAAATGCAAATAATGAAATTGCTAGTTCAGGAAATATCAGAGAATTAGAGGTACTTCACAGAAGAACATGTTTATGGTGACGCACTTTTCTTGAGTTGTGGCATTTGCTGAATTACAATAGGTAAATTTATTTTTAGAGAATTGTGGGCTTTTGTCCTGACACTATTCTTTTTTTTTAAATTTTTTATTAAGGTATTATTGATATACACTCTTATGAAAGTTTCACATGAAAAAAACAATGTGGTTACTACATATACCCATATTATCAAGTCACCCCCATACCCCAAAGCAATCACTGTCCATCAGTGTAGTAAGATGCCACAGAATCACTACTTGCCTTCTCTGTGCTACACTATTTTCCCCTGATCCCCCACACCATGTCCTGACACTATTTCTTAAATAGTGCTTTATATGATCAAGAGTGTCTTCTGAAATCCAAAGACAGGATCTAAATAAATCTCTGTCAATTAATGTCAAATTATTTAAAAGTTGAGCATGTAAGAGATCCAGGGTTTCATGCTAAGTTACATGTATAATTTACATCAAAGCTTTAACTATAAAGCAATGATATACAAACCTGTTCATGTTGTCTGCCAGTTCCTCCACTAAAGTTTGTTACTGTGGTTAGAGCTAAACTCAAATTGTCTAAGTCTAGTTTACCCAGAGGAAATTCAAGTCATGCAATACTTTCACTTGCCAAATTCCTCCTCTACTATCTTTTTTATGTTATTCTTGGGTAAAGAAAAGTGGTTTTAGATTGTGTCAATCAAAATGGGATTACTGACATGAATTGATTGTACTCACCCAAATGTGGAAGAAGGATAGCCATGTCACATTTATGTATATTTTGAATTATATACTTATTGGGGTTATTCATGACATTTTATTTCTCTATTAACATGGACCACTGAAAACTGGCTAACCAAGTTTTTCTCTGTTTTAATAGAAAGGCAAACTATTTCTCAAGACTATACTATTCTTTCCCACTTTCTATAAATTGTATATTAAAAAACACACACACAAGCACACACACACACAATGTCTTCAAGATTTTAATTTCAAATAACATTAATTTTCTAATATTTATTTGTGAAGAGTGGGCTTTGTATCCTTTATATACTTACTAGATTTAGAAATCTTGTTCTCAACATTCTCTTTATTTTCAATTTTTTTCATGACAAAACCTGCAAACTACATTCTTCATGTTAAATTGTTGTGAATTCAGTATTTTTGTTGTGCAAATGAGTAACTTCTGCACTCTAGTGAAATTTGTATCTTTATTTAAGAAGCAATTTCACTTGGTATGGAGGAGAAAGCTATTAACTTGATTTGTGATACAAAGAACTTAAATTTGTTTTTGCCTTTCTTACATGTAACTCAAAAAAAGCGTAAAAAATCTCTATTTGATGTTATAGCCATAACACTACAATTAGAATATCTAATAAGAAGAAAAATTAAAGAAATAGCAAAGAGAAATAGAAATGGATTACTAGTTGCTGTGTGCCAGGAAATATTCCAAGTCCTGGACATGGGTGAGATTCCTCCATCCTCTTCAAAAGCTCACAATACAGACATTATTAAGAGATGAGGAGAAAAATGGTGGTTCTGGCCCAATATGGGGCTATGTGAGGGAGCTGAGATTTTACTAGACCATGCGTATTTTGGCTTTTTTGATTCGATTTCAAAGGAAATCATAGTAACAAATAACTTCCTGTTTGAAGTTATAGATGCCAAACAAAAAATATTTTTTGTAATACTTTTCTCATGGCTAAGTGATGAAAACATATATTTTACTTTATCCCTGTTATAATATCTGTTAACAAGTACATTTAAAAAAATCTCTTTATCCTACATTTCAATCAAGCACAGAAATGAATTGGCATGAAAGTGCTCAAGTTCACCTTGGGCAATGTATCGTAATAGAGACAATGAAATCAGAAAGCCTGAATTTAAGTCTGGACAGTCTTTTACAAGTGTCACAGGTCATTACATTATCTCTACCATTGAGGCTTTGGAACACTGTTGAGGCTAAACAAAAAGATAATCATTACTGGCTCTGCTTATCCTTAAATTCTCTAATTCAAGGGAAGGACTTATCTCACAGATTTATTGCATCATTAAATAGGGCAACTATCAGTGATAAAAAGGGGAAAAAAGAAAGAGACAGAGAAAGGTAATTCACCAGAATAACCTGACTTCAATCCTGGCCCTGCTTAAGCCATTAAAATTGGAGGTATATTTTAACCCGGAGACTATCACCTGTGATTTATTAATTTGCTATTTATTATTTATATATATTTATTTATAGGCATTCAAGTCTTTGTTGTTGGTGGTGGTTGTTTGTTTAATCCACATTGCCCTCCTTGTTAAGCTTCTTATATATATGAAGCCAGACATGTGTTACAGGTGTTTCTGTACCTTCATTCTTTGTCAGGCATTGTGAAAAATTCAACAAAAATATAATAAATAATCATTTATGCCCTCAAGGGACTGACAGTCAAGTGGTGGATATAAATATATGACCACATATATCAAATAGAATGAACAATGCTGTAAGAGAGAGGCATGATTGCAAACAGTGGAGAAACTATGGGATAGATAGTCACTGTTATGCATTGGTAGACACTAAGGAAGGCTTCACTTCAGGTGGATATGGAGAGATAAGTAAAATTCTCTATGCAAAGGTGGGCTAGGAAATTAGAGGACAGAGGAATATCACCTAAGTGTGAAAGTATGTAGGCAGGTAATCAGAAAGACTTAAAAAGAAACCTCCAGAAGTGTTTATTTGAGTGAATGAAAATACTAGGGAAGTTTGGAAATGAATAGTTCAGTGTGTTAAGTAGATTGACAAGCAATGTACAAATAATTGATGAATTATTATAATGAAACTATAGTGAAAAAAGTTGTTGTGGCCTGAAAATAACACACAGGGAGTCACAACTTTAGAGTTTGAAAAGACAATGAAAAAAATAGGAATAAAAGTTCAAAGAAAAGAAATAAATTTGTCTTTTTGAAACATGGAAAGAATGAAAGTACTAAGGGTATGATGATCCTATTTCAAGCTATTCTTTTCTAGACCTTAATGAATGTTTGGTATTTGGCACATGCTCACACCAATGTATAAATATGGAAGGATCATATAAATGTGTATGTGACCAAAATTTTCAAGAACGAAACAACACCTGCATAGCAAAAGGTAAGGTTGTAGCTGTTATTTCAAATGCGACTGTAATTTTGCTATAGATATCTTACAGGGTATGATGTTTCATATTAAACTTAGCAATAACTTCATGACTGAAGCTATAAAAAATCTCTCTTTGATACTTATTCATTTGGCCAGTTAGTTTGTTACAATTTTTAGTTAATCCAGTCTGGGATGGTTTATAGACATGACTGTCAAACATATTTACTGTTAAAATCATTTTTGTGTTTGAAACAATTTGTCAGAAGGGTGTAAAAGTTTAAAAGCCAAAGTGATAGTCAGAATATAAAGTATCTTTCTTTATGGCCTGTTCTCAGTGTATCTGAGAAACTATTATACTACTGGGATAAAAAGAGCAGGTTAAAGGTTTGCATTATAAGGAGAAGGCAGTTTTGAGTAAGGATTTAAAAGGTGTTAAAATAATGCTTTCAAATTCAGACCTCCTCCATTTATAAATATATTTTTTAGTAATTAAATTACAGGTATTGGACTTTTTTAAATATGGATTTTAAGTCTCACATGATTTTACTAAACAGTATTGTAACAAACTTAGTATATATGTATATATGTGTGTGTGTGTATGTGTGTGTGTGAGCACATATTGGGAACGTTATTAAACTCTCTGAGCCTCAGTTCCCCGTCTATACAATGGGAATACTAATACCTACTTTCCATGATTGTTTTAAAAAGAGATATAAATTGTTAAATCTTAAAATAGTGCCTGCCACATAGTAAACATTCACCAAGTGAGAGCTATTAAGCCAAAAGAGCTGAACTATACCTCATGTACATATTTTTTGAATTTTCAGATACTTTATATGCAATTCAGTTTTTCTTCACTGTTTCATTAAAATTGTAATTAGTACTTTCAGGATTCATTTTAGGATTTTACTTTTCTCAGTATGAAAATTATATCAAAGTTGTTCTGTAGGTGTCAAAACTTCAGGCTAAAGGGTTCCACTTCACAAGATTCTAGAGATTTAGATTATGACACTCTAATAAATACTGATATCTTCATATAATAAAGACATAAGAACATTATATATATATATATGTATATATATGGTAATGATCACTCAGGTGTATTAATGAATATACAATATAACATCTGAATATTGAGACTCAAAGCATTAGAACATAATTTATTGTGACTTATCAAGTAGAAATCCCTCTTCATAAAAGGATATCTACTACAAATAGCTAATTTCTAGTCATCAGGTAGGTTTTGTCCTCAAGGAAACCTCTATCAATAACACTTAAAAATGTTTAGGCAAGTTTTCTATTAGAAATTAGAAAGATGGTATAAAGGTAGTTCATTTTTATTTAGCAAGAAATTGTTAAGAATCACAATTCAAGATAATTTAAAAGTATAATCATTGCTCTTACATTAGTTGAAATTTACTTTATTTTTGTATTTTATTATAATAATCTCCAGGCTCTGAAGATCAAGTTCTCTACATTGCTAATGACACTGATATCCTGGGTTTTATATATCCATTCAACTACAGTGGTGATCATCAACAAATTTCTCATATTGAGCATAATTCAAGGATAACAGGGATGGATGTATATTATCAAAGAGATATGATTATTTGGAGTACTCAATTTAATCCAGGCGGAATTTTCTACAAAAGGATCCATGGCAGAGAAAAAAGGCAAGCAAACAGTGGCTTGATTGTAAGTAAATAACATTGAATACTTGAAGACTCATACCTCATCACTTTTGTGCTATTTTTTTAAATCTATCACAATATCTGACTGTAGGACATAATTAATATGTTAAGTGATTTCTCCCAATATTCTCTCCATATAGAAATAAAACATTTTCTTACTCATTTATTCTTGGAGCTGCGTGTAATTTAATAATGTAATATGTTTTTGTTTTAGTACAGTTGCCTTAGTTACATAATAATGGGAATCTATAAAACCTAACATTTATAGGACATTTTATATTTTACAGTGTTTTATGATATATTATGAACATGAGGTTTTTTCTTCATGAGATGAGATTGAAAATCATCACTTTGGTTTTACATTAGAAAATGAACTGCCAGACATGCAGAGAGACTTATTTCATTTTTAACAATATCAGATATATACTTCTCTTATAGAGCAAGAGACCCACTGAACAGTATAGTCATTTCTTCCGACTCCTGATGACTGTATTTCAAGGAACATCCAAACATAGCAATATCATTTGCTGGTGTATGATGGACATATTAATTATTGCGGTTATTCCTTTTGGGAAAAATACACTAGAAAATTTGTTTAGACTTGTGGTTGTAGACTTTTTTTTTTGGAGTGGGTGGGCATGTCAATTTATTCTGTATTTTATATTTTGAGGTAACCTGGGAGAAAAATGACAGATAAATACTTATCTTGATGGAGCCAGGCCCATTTCCGTACAACCAAATGTCAAGTGCTATCACAGTAGGATATAACTGAAACTTTGTATTTGAAAAGAATCAGAGGTTCCTATCTGGCAGTCCTTACTACCTTTTACAGTGGGATCTACCATAAACATTTGACCTACATGAGTACCATTTGATAGAAATATGGGACATATCAGCACCAAATAGCAATAAGCTGGTTTTAAAACATGCTATATGACCTGTCCAATTTAGGTTGGATTATTAACTGTAAGTAAAAAATCCATGTATATCAGAGTTGTCTTTCCAACTCTTTCTCCCCCAAACAATGTTATATAATTGCTTTGGTTGTGTTCAGAACAGTCCTAGGATACAGCCAAGAAATTTAGGAGATCACTCTGCCCTCCTTCACTCACATAGAATCTCCTTCCTCTCTATCAGACCAAAGACTGACTCAGTCTTGGCTAACTGTAGCTTTCTTTATCTCTAGAACTGAAGTCTGCCTTGCAAAACCTTTGCTCCTATAGTAACATTTCATCTGTTACGAATGAAGTGATTCAGAGTATATACCGTGGTATTACACTGCCTGGGTTTTAATTTGTTCCTGTTGCTTAATAGCCTCTTAGCTTCTTTGTACTCTCAACTTCATGAGTAGTGAGAAATATATGCTTATTTATATTTACAGACATATACTATATATATATATTAGTGATGACAGTTCTTTGTACACAGTAAGTACTATATACATGCTTATTATTTAGCATGTATGATAATAATGATGATAATGATGGTGTTGATGATGAAAATGTTGATGATGACTGGCAAAATGTCCTCTATGATGCATATTATCACATTAAAAATTATTTGTGACTTACACTATTCTGAATTTTATAGTTCCTAAAACTACATCTTTAAATTTGGCATAAAGTTTCAGTGACATTATTTAATAATTATTTAAATTTTGTCCTTGGGGAGATTGATAATTAATACATAGTCATTGTCTTCTAGTGAACTGAGCTTATTTTAGGTTAGAAGCCAGATCTGTACACACAAATACATAAATGCATATGTTTTATTTGTATAGTATGTATTTCTTTACCTGTATATATTTTACATATTTTAATTTTTTATTTCATTAATGTGGTATAGAATCTTTTGAAACCAATGGTAAAGCTATTGATTAGATTTTTACTAATAGAATATGAAACTTCACTAAGTATTTTAATGATAGTGATTATGCATGTTGTAACATCTAGATTATCTTTTTGTTTGTTTTTCTCTCTCTTCTTAGACCTATGCATGACTAACAGTATTTACTAGACAATAAAAGTGGGTACACTAGGCACATTTTTAGGAGTCCCTCATACCTCGCTAAATGTCATGATTATAAGGTCAGAAACTCTAAACTGTCGGTTTTAGCACCATGTTCTAAGCTATTAAGCACTCCATAGGAATTCCAACCATGCGCTGTTGTTTAGCGCAGCCATTTTCATTAATGAGCTTAGCTAGATCTCTGGGAGAATTTGTTGCAGCTTCTACATCAGCACTTTCTGCTTTATCTGCAAGAAATGGTGAGCAGCTGGTCAGTGAGGCAGTCTGAACACACACATTTAAGGATTTAGTTCACTGTTTCATATGGGTGCAGTCCTTGGCACCCCAAAATAATTGCAATAATAACACAAAGATCACTGATAACATATCACCATAGCAAATAAAATAATAATGAAAAAGTTAGACATATTGCAAGAATTACCAAATGCAACAGAGACTCAAAGTGAGCAGATGGTGTTGGAAAGATGGCACTGAGAGACTTGGTAGACAAAGGGTTGCCACAGACCTTCAATTTTTGAAAAATAAAGTATCTGCAAAGTGTAATAAAACAAAGTACAGTAAAACTAAGTATGCCTATACAGTATTGAAGTAGAAAATTTCTGAAATCCCTTCCAGTTTGCAAATATATATGATTTCCAGAAGACATGTGATGTAATTTATGCTTATCCTGTTATTATCTGGACAATTATTTATTCTTCTGAAATGCATCTTGTGTGAATAATCGATTTTCTACCCTCATGAATTACTCTGCCATGTATTTGTTTTTTTAACAGTTAACCAGTTAGTCATTCATTAGTGTAATTAGCATGCAACCTATTGCATCTTCTAAGTTTCAACACAAATGTTAAATGATACTAAACTCAGAGTTCCCTGCTGCTTGGAAAAAGAAACTCAAAATCATAAGCTGAATATGGACCATTGATTTCTGCCTCTGAATCAATAGGTGAAATAAAGCAAAATGCTTTGAATATTTTTATTATAACCCCTTATCAGTAAATCAAATGGAAAGTGTTAGTTATGTGATACCAGAATGTCTTGTAAACATTTTAACAGATACTGAAAATATTGGAATTTTTCCATCCCAGTAAAGATGAGGAAATATAGTATCAGAAATCAGAAGAGGAATATTACTCAGGCAACTAAATGTTAACCGAAATCCATCCCAAAGAAATATACTTTTCAATATGATCTTGTTTTTTAGAAGCCATGAAGGGAGTACCCTTCTGTAATCTGTGAAAGTGATTAGAATACTAATTATGACTATAAATTTACATTTCAAATACAGATTAAGTTATTTATAGATGGAAATGCTTATGGTTTTCTAAACCCTTGGGCTGTACAAAAAAGATGGATCTTCTTTTCCTTTAAGAAAATTAAATAATTTAACACTTAAAAGACTCACATGATTCAATATATATGTAAAGAGTAATGAGATCTATGAATTTGAAGTTTAGGAGTCAGAACAGAAGATGATATCATTATGCAACAATTGTATTTACTTCCTGGCAATTTATCATTTCTAGTATGAAGTACAGCCAAGTACATGATGGCAAGCACTATAAAGTAGGTAAAAGCTTAGAAAAAATGCAAATGGACTTCAAAAATACAAATGAGATTTTTACCATTAGATAGCTAAGTATTCTTGAGCAAAACAAATGGTTCATCTGATCTGCCTGATTTTGAGAAGTGAATATGACATACCATTTTTGGCATATTGTTTATTTGTTGAAAATAATGTTCAGAATGAATATGCTTATAATTTTATTTCATTATTAATCATATATTTTCCTCAGTAAGTTGACTAGTATTTTTTCCTGAAAAGATTTAATGATAAAGTTTTCCTTGCTAGGTTTCAATTTCTGATTGGAGTCTTAGTTATAAACTTCACACCACTATTTTTTATATCACATAAACACACACACACATGAATATGAATACATAGGTGTGCATGTGTACCCACGTGTGTGTGTGTGTGTGTGTGTGTGTGTGTATACTTAAGTTTTAGCCAAAACTTCACAAGTCTTATTTTAGGGTGTTGAGTACTGCTAAAAACTGATGTTTTCTCTTTTTCAATTTTTAAAATTTATTTTATTCATTATTATAAATTTGTGGTGACCATTATAATCCTAAATTGAAACTATATAGCAAGAATACTTTTAAAACCACTTGAGTTTATTCAGACCAGCCAATAACCAAAATCGCTTATTATGATTAGTTTGGAAAAAAATCTAAAACTATCAGCTCATTACATTGCCATTTTTTGGTTTCACTGTGGTTGACTGCATTAGATGGGCACACAACAATACATAGTTATTAAGAGTTAAATGGCTCTGTAACAGTTGTGACCAATACTCAAAATTTTACTGAATGTGAATCTTATAAGACTCTATAAAACACTGGATTCTATAATCAATTAAAAATTCTGATCAGATATATAACATTTTAAGGTGAACCAATCCATTTTTATTCATATATACCTAAAGCTTTATGTCAAGGGTCCTGTTTATTAGTTTTGCTGTTGGGATTTGGGAAATAATAATGATAAAAGTGTCTTGTTATGAAGTTTATATTCTGGGGATACAGATTAAGTCAACTAAACTCATAAATAAATAAATAGAAAAAATCAAATTTTGAGAAGTCTGTTAAAGGAAATGAATAATTGACTAAGAAAGAAAAACTCACCATGTTTTAAGTCTGCTTTGGATAGGATAATAAGTAAATGCTCCTTTGAAAAGAGGAGATAGAAGCTCAAACCTAAGAGAAGAGAAGAAAATAATGTCATCTTATTTGTAACTAAAACAACTATTTTACTTTTTATGTAGAGAATGGATTTGGTGGGGGAAGACCTAGAACAGAATAAGGCCACCTGAGAGGCTTATGCTCCAAGTTAGAAACGGTGGAAGGTTGTACTGTTATACTCTCACTAAATGGAAGGTAGTGAGTAGAAGTTTAATTAAAAATGTTTTGCAGATAAAA